GTCATAGCCGTATTCAACATTGTTTTATTGTCTTCGTTCTGTGTCATAGCCGTATTCAACATTGTTTTATTGTCTTCGTTCTGTTTCATAGCCGTATTCAACATTGTTTTATTGTCTTCTTTCTGTCTTATAATTGTACCTCATAATTGCTCTAATTCTTAATTCTGTCTCGTAACAAAAACTTAAGAAACGCTTAATAAGCCAGTTATCCATTATTGACCAGTTATCCATTATTGACCAGTTATCCATTATTGACCAGTCATCCATTATTGATAACAAACTTTTATTATCCTCTATTTCTAATTAGATTTCAAAGACATCAATATAAGCACAACTTCAAATAATTGTTAAGGACTCGCTTATCTTATGAGAACGATAAACTTCTGAAAGAATCAGGACACTTTCAGTTGATAGAAGAAACACTTTATTTTTCATTCAACACAAAGATTATTGAGTAACACTCTGTACAAGATTATGGATGGAGAGAGGCGCGGAATGAAAACTTACAACAGAAACAAAGATCATTTAAAAAATATATTAATTGTTTTTGTACATTACTAATCTATTAGATTTTAAATCAGAGCTTCATATTCATTTTCATCTAATGATATATAGTAGAATATAAATCATTTTCATTATACACGAGAAAATACAAAAAAATAATGGATTAGTTTAGTCTGAATAAGGAACTAAATTACAAGTATTTGTTATCAGTTTGTAGATTTGACTTTATACTATGATTTTTCTAAACAAATTTGACAATTAAATAAAAAAGACTAAAATGATAACATCTACTAATACAATTGTTTATTCGTTTTTTTTGCAACAATAAATTTTACTAGAGATAGAAATTAAAGACAGATAACTTCAAATGTAGACGTTTCATTTCATCATTCTTCCAATTAAAATATGATTACAAGATTCACATTTTTTACGACATTCTTTTAAACAACCATTAAGCATTCTCATAAATATAATACAAGATAAATACAATTGTATTCAAACTCATTTACACGATAAAAAAAAAAGGCACAAAGAGTTAAAAAGGAATGGATCTCCGTTATCTGGCTGAAAAATAATGGTAATGCAACGCTAAAGCTAAATAAACTATCCCAAAACTCAATAGATGTTAAGCGATGACGAATAATTAAAAAAATACAGTTAAAACTACTTTTAATATGGTTAATGTTTATAATATTCCACATGTGAATAGTCAACTATGTCTATCTACCACTGTATACAGTAATTTCGTCAACAGGTTATTTATAGATATAGAAAATAATCACTAGATTGACACTGTTAATCAAAAATTAGTCTTAGGTGTTAATACGAACTTATAAAAAACGCTAACAACATAGTGTTTAATATCCTAATATTTTTTTAAAGAATGTGTTACGTGTTACTTTTAGCGTAGCAAAAGTAGCTTTCTTAAATTCGGAAATCCGAGAATAAAAAATAACACATACACATATAGTTTAGCTACATGTAAGAGAAAAAACAAATGTCAATTTCTGAAAATTCTCCTGAATCTTAATATATATTTTTTTAATTATCTGTTTATTTTTCAAGAGCATATTCTTGCAGATTTGGTTTCGGCCAATAAAGGTAAATTCATCATAAACAACCGGGGTTTTTGGATCACAATGGGTTCCACTTGGGTGCACATCCAAAGCTAGAAAGAAGAAAAAAAGATGTAGCTGAGTTAAGCCTAAAAACGAGGCTAATTCAATGGACAAAATAGGAATGAAATCAATATTAAGATCACGATACAAGAAATATAAACAAATCTAATAAATTTACATGGAAGGATATAAAACCCAAACACATGTATTCAGAGAAAAAAAAAAATTCAACGAATAAAGAAAAAGAAACTAAAAGCATAGCTAGATGGCGCCACAAAAACCATACTTTTTCCCACTATTGTGCATTTCAAAAAATATTCTATGGTACACAAGATAAAATATATCGAAATTTATATTGAGACTTTTTTTTTTTCTGTAAACTCGTTATAAGTATTTATAGGTTTCAATATTGCAGCTTGAACTCTGTATATCACATAATATTACGGTTTTCGGTATTATGCCTTCATATTTACCCCTGGAAGGAATAAAGAAGATTAAGTCGGCGGATCTTTCTTTGTTTGTTTGTTTTGAATTTCACGCAAAACTACTCGAGGGCTACCTAATTTCTGAAGTGGTAAGCTGCAGGGAAGGCAGTTAACTAACAGTAGAATGTTTTGTCTTACAGATCCATTGAAGTTTCAAGTTTCTGTTGGTGAGATCTCTAGCAAAAATACGAAATTTTCTAAGAGGTTATTATAATAATAATCGTTTCGTACTAAACGTACCCATTAAAAGCTGACGAATCGTAGATAAGTTTAGAGTTTCATAACTGCTCCCATCCTTCTCAAGGCTAAAAATGCATTCACAGCTTTCTGCAAAAAAATAAAATAAATAAATATACATAAAAATAATATAAACTTTTAATATGGCACCCACAGTTTAAACTACAGTTACGTTTATTATGATGCTTAAAAAAAAAACGTCGCAACACCACAACTCAAAGAAAATGAACATGTCAGTTGTTCCCATTGAGATTCTGTGTACAAACACAGTGGAATATAAAAAGATATATAGTTTATTTGTTTGTTTTGTTGTTAAGCGAAAAGCTACCCAATAGGTTATTTGTGCTGTGTTCGCCACGAATATCGAGACCCTTTTTTAGCGATGTGAGCCCTCAGACGTACCGTTGAGCCCCTGGGGAGTTCGAAATAAAGTCAGGCTCATAGAGGAACAATAAAATTGGTATTTCAGGTGGAAGAATTTAAATATTCTATTCATTCACTGGCTCATTACGTAGCATTTGAGCTTTTTTCCCATTCGTGAAATATATTCCTCTGCTGATTATAACAACATAAAGCAGCGTTTCCCAAACTTTTGTCATTCACGATTCCTCTGCTAATTACAACAATTGCGAAAACGCTGCTTTATGGCAGAGGAATCGTGGATGACAAAAGTAATTACAACATCCACGCTCCCTTTAATAAATTTGGTTTCTTGCTCATCCCCCCACCTTTTTTTAATGGGTGAAAGAATGAATGATGTGATACACGAATACACAATAAGATACTACATGTGTTGTAGTACTATTTTAATTAATAAACAAAATATACTAAGATGCTCAATATTTGTATTACTGCACTACTAATTATACCCTAATCGATCGCAACCACTTAATCGATTATCTGCGCCCCCTGGAGGGCATGTCCCACACTTTGGGTAACGCTAACTTAAAGGATGCTAAAACACAAACAGATCGATAGAATTAACAAACATAAAAAATTACAGAAGTATTCATTTCGCCGAATTATTGGTCTTAAAAATATAACCCTAAACGTGTTGCTCAATCCAATTAATTCGAACAATTGACGAAACGCGGGGTCGTACTTTAATTAACTCATTTATTTTGACACTTATAAAACAAAGAATTATACTTTAAAACGTACCTGCCACCTTCGACGAATCACGAACCTTTTCAACCTTGTTTTATCCAAATGGGTTTCTTCCATCTTTTTATCTTTCTGAAAGTACGAGAAAATTTTGAAATGAGTAAATTTTGTACTTACAATTTCGTGCTTGTCAAAATGTACTCTTGTATTTGTACTTCTGATTTATTTGTGGAAAACAAATGTCGAAAACGAAGAAAGCACGTTATTGTCAATACGACATAGCCGGAATATTGTCAGAAATAAAACAATAAGATACTATATAGTGATATTACGTCTTAATTTTGAGAAATAGGCTTAACTTCTTTTAAACACGACAAAATATACAGACTAATACGCACAGTGTATTAATTTATATTTAACTCTGCCATAATGAAGCCAATTAAGTTACTGAGAAATTGATATATATATAACCCATAACATGTTTGAATTTGACTTTGACCCAGTTACATCTATTAAGCTATTTAGAAATTGATAAGTATATATAAATAACACAGTTTATGTTAATATTGAACCACAGCTCTACCACAGGGCCAACCTGCACCCCAAGGGGAAAAACATTAAACTAATATCGTAGCTGTAATAAAACAGTATGACGTTCACTTCAGTTCCTAATTATCCTATAGTTAGCTGTTCTATCAAACCTATACGCATGGTCTTACTGTTTAATAAACTGTTGTTTTTTAATGTAAGTGTTTTCGAAACGTCAGTGTGTTTTTTAAAAACAAATTATCATGAAAGAACTATTATTAAATTGCTATCAGTCTTGCACGATTAAATATTTCATCAGAAAAGTGATCTGTGGTATTTAAGAAAAGATCATGTTTTCTTCCTGTTTTAGTTTAGAAAGATAAACAGTTTTAATTCACCTAGATTTTTAAACAATTTTACGAATATATAGTTATCTGAGTGCAGTTCTGGGTTGTAGCAACTTTTTCTATACACTTTCCAATGTTTTTTTTTCTTTTTTTTTCCTTTAGTATTTCTGAACTCTCTCGGGAAAGGTGTTTCTGGAGAACTATTTTGGTGGTTACTATATGATCTCTAGTAACATCGATAGTGTACAAGTTTACAAATATCTGAAGGCCATAATCTCCCTATTTTTGTTTGCGGAATGACCAAGTGAGAGCACTATTTACTATAGTTGGAACTATTTGTTTTCTCGTGATCTCCCTATTTTTGTTTGTGGAATGACCAAGTGAGAGCACTATTTACTATAGTTGGTAGGGAGATCACGAGAAAACAAATAGTTTTTTTGTTTGTGGAATGACCAAGCGAGAGCACGATTTACTATAGTTGGAACTATTTGTTTTCTCGTGATCTCCCTATTTTTGTTTGTGGAATGACCAAGCGAGAGCACGATTTACTATAGTTGGAACTATTTGTTTTCTCGTGATCTCCCTATTTTTGTTTGTGGAATGACCAAGTGAGAGCACTATTTGCTATAGTTGGAATTATTTGTTTTCTGAGTTTGGATCAGAATTTCCAGAGCTTCTACAGAACTAGGGAGGTGTGCTGTTCTTTGTCTTGGTGCGTTCGTTAGTTGCATTGGTTTATATAGACTGACTTTTTTTTACTTTGCTGTACATTGTATCCGGTCTTTTTTTTAACTCAGTCAAGTAAAAAATTCAGGCTAGCTCAGTTACACATTTATTGTCGTTCTTCTAATTGTTGGGGTTACTATATTTACCTGAAAGTTATCAGTATGCCTCGAGGACTACACAGTTATACATATCTATATGAAGTCTACTAAAATATAATAGTTAAAAACTTCGGTTAGGCTTCTTTTGCTAGGTTGGTTTACATATTTATAACCCTATTAAAGTTTGATCCGAAGGAAGATTTTATGGATAACAATTCCAGGGTTAATCTGCTAAAAGGCTTCTTTGAGTAGATTGTGGTCTCCACAATGAAACAGACTGAACTAGGTGAGAAAACACATATTTCTGACTCCCAAGGGTGGTCTTTTATTACATAAACGAAGGACCTTGAACAGACCCTCATTCATACTTGCGTAGCATGAGGGTGAGACTAAACCTACCCTCAACCATGGATGTTTCAAGCAGTCGTTGGCTGTCATCCTCTCCCTGAAAAATTGAATTTTATTAACTCAAAAAAAAATCACTTTATCACACACAAACAGATCTCTTAGAATAATAAGAATAACCCTCATCATTAATTATGTTTTATTAAAAATTTTCCTATTGTATTTCTTCTGCTCCTCAAACTGTTTAATTTTTGCGTGCAATCTTAGCCCCAAAACCTGGAGTAGATCGTACAGAAACTAGTGGCTGTTTTGTTTATCCATATATCGGGCTAATTTTTATATCAGCGACGATGTAGTAATAGGGTTTTCGAACAATACAAGTTTTGTGGTTATCGGTTCACCTGTTTCAGAGAAATCTTTCTTTGAAAAAGACATTCCCTCCGTTTTTTTGTCAAGATTTTGGTAAAAATACATTATCTTTTGCAAATTACTTTTCCTATAGAAGATTTATTTTGGTGCAAAATTAGTCTATAAACATTAGAAGTATGTCCACAAGTCATGTTTACCCTAGTCTCAAGTGCAAGATTGGGAGTTGTACGGATGTTTACACGAAATACAAACTTTGTGGGTGTTATCACAAGATTGGAAGTTGTACGAATGTTTACACGAAATACAAACTTTGTGGGTGTAATCACAAGATTGGAAGTTGTACGGATGTTTACACGAAATACAAACTTTGTGGGTGTAATCACAAGATTGGGAGTTGTACGGATGTTTACACGAAATACAAACTTTGTGGGTGTAATCACAAGATTGGGAGTTGTACGGATGTTTACACGAAATACAAACTTTGTGGGTGT